ATTCACTTTTGAGAGTTTGAAGGGGTATTATAAAAAATAACACATAGAATAAATTAATAAAAAGACAATTTTTAAAAAACGGCTGAACTGTAGCAAATAAGGGAATGCAAAGTGTGAATTACTGGACAGGATTCCTGTATTAAGTTTCACCCATTCAGGACTCAGGAACTATTGCTGAAGAGGTGGTGGAAAGTTTTTAAGAGCCCAGGGAGGAGATGCACGACCACAGGGATACAGAGGCTTAGCAGCATAGAGCTTGGGAAATGGGCAGAAGGCCACAACCTTGGTGAGGAACTAATGACAGTTGATCACTGCTGGGTGACGAAAAGTTGATCTTCTTTAAGAGAGTAAAGCTAATTAGGCTGAACATTCTCCACTGGATGAACTCACACTAGGGACATCTGGGTACACAAATTTTACTCAATAGACTTTAACATATATGACAAAATGTATGAAGTCCTGTGGATGGGCCATTGGAGGCTGCAGATAGGTAAGTGGGGTCTAAATATAATTAAGATATATTGTCTGAAGTCCAAAAAAATTCAATAAAATTGTATAATAAATAATAGAAAAACTCAGAATAAAAATGCATTTGGAAAAAAAATAATAATTGCTATATAGCAAACAACAAGATTGTATTTCAACTATCATTTTAGCAATATATCATGGAAAAATATCAAATGTACTGAAGGCTTTAAGCCAAATGAAATGAGGCGTCAAGAGGAAAAATAATAAAATGAAAGAAGATTATGTATGTTAGAAAAATAGAAAGGGGGAGAAAAAGGGGATAGAGAGAGGGATGTAGAAGGAAGGGAGAAAGAGACAAGGAGAGATGAGAGGGAGAGAGAGAGTGAGCAAGTGAGCGAGAGAAGAGATTCTGAAAGTCGTTTCAAGAATCACATATACATTTGTTAAAGCGTACACTGCTTTAACCAGTACACTTTGGGGTCTTACCTTTCCACATAATCCAAAAGCCTGGAACAATGATTTGAAGCAGGGGCATCATGACCACCCACTGCATAAAGGAAACCATCACAGGTGGCCACACCAACACCCCCTCTCCTCTTACACATTGGAGCACACATGTTCCACTTATTTGTATGAGGATCATAATATTCCATTGAACTCAAACAAGAGCTTCCATCACGACCTCCAACTGAATACAACCTAAAATAAATTAGAAAGCATTTAATGTTACAGTGTGAATGGAAAAATGTGGAAAAATTCTTTAAAACTGAATGTAACACTATAAACCTCAAATATATTAGAACGGTTTTAGGTCTCATGGAGATTTTTGTTGAAGATTATCCTAAAATTGGTTACCTAAAACTAGAATTCCTATTATTTTAACATGCTCTTTTCTATGTGAAATAATGCAATAATAACATTATAATCTCTGAATTTAGAAGCTTATATTTAAATTGTTTTAGAAGAAATAATCATTAATAATATATTAATTTGATAAATATTCAGGGATAGTTATTAAATTTGTAGAATAAGTTATAAAAAATGCCTGCGGTCAGAAAGACTGTGTTTCTTTATTTGTGAATAATTATGGACAAATATTTTGTGCAATATGATATAACAGAGCATTATACAAGGGGATGATTCTAAGGCATGTTGTAATAACATCTTCCTTAGTCTGTATTCTATAGATAAATTAATATTTCACATGAAACTCCTAATTTTAGCCTGATTGAATAATTGTGAAACTTAAATTTATTTTTCTA